ATCTTGCAAACATAATCTTATATTAACTCTCGTTTACGTTTACGTTCTTTGGAAAGAAGAGACAAAAAAAGAATTGCTTTATTTTTGATAATCTTCTTGCACAATTTGATTGGTGAAAGAATTGTCAAAAATAGAAAAGAAATTGCTTAGAAACTGCTTTAGCAAATCTGCCAAGCCTCATTATAATTATGATTACAATATTATTATATAGCATTTCAACGTATAATCTCTGCACAATGAAGATATTATAAATTTCCTAAATCATATTATTTAATTTATATTATTATTAATATTAAATTATAAATTTCTCGATAAAATCATTAATTCTCGCTTTAGCAATCTAGAATTCTTGAATTCGATCATCCCTCAATAATAGAGATTCAATCGTAATTTTCTTTATATTTAGACGGAGATTTTATTGTTTATTGTTTACAGAACTATCCAACTACTTTTTTTCTTACAAGTAGAATCATTAAGTCCCCTGTGCGTTGTATAGGCTCATTTCTTTATACTCCGCTTTTAATAGACTATTCTATTATATGATTGCCATGAATTTTAATAGAATAGAATAATCTATGTGATCCATAGAGGATATCGTTGATTAATGTATCTTCTTTTCATCTTATTGTTTAGACACCTTCCATCTCTGTTTTCTAAATCCGGATTTCTTTTGTCAATTTGAAATATTTTTCTTACATTTTCTAAGAATAATGCTTCCTCGGACTACTAAACTGTCCAAATTGATTCAATTTAATTATTTGTTGTAATTAAGGTAATATTTAGTAAACTTACTTTGGATGCTTGAAATTGACTAATCTAAAAGTTTAACACTAAACGAAGAGCATATAATAAATTAAGAATTTATTCATCTTTAAACCTTTTGATATTTTTGTTCAACATATTGTGATATAAACTCATTACGTAATATACACTCTTTGAAGCTCTAACAAGTGAGCCAATTATTTCCTTATTGATTATAAAATTATCCGTTCAATACTCTAGTACGAAATAAACACTCAAAGGATTAATACACGTACTGTTTTTCACCTAGCGAATTGCATTCTATTCACTGCATATATTTTTGTTCCACGTATCTTCGTATCAAAGGGTTTTCATCCCGTGTAAATAAATAAAATTCAAATGCAAATAATTTTTTCCCCGGATGACGGTACACGGTTCGGAGGGCCTCCTCGCGTGGCCGTAGCGTCACGTTCCAACACCGGAAGGTAGTCACAGCTCCTTCTAAAATCAGGGTGGCCAACGCGAAATATATAGACGACGTCCCTGCCGACGTCGAGTTTGTATATTTACGCATACCGACGGGCTCGACGTAACGCAGGACGGGCTACGCGGCGCGACGCTTTTCGCGTCCCGCTGTATATTTCTTCAAGCACGCACACGCGGCCGCGAAACGACGCAGCGCCGACGACGCCACTCGAAATTCGAGGCGAGCGCCGCGTTATTTTTCGCACACCGTGTTCCCCGACGCGAAGCGACGCGAGCCTTTCCCGAATATACGACGCGACTTTGTAACACGAGACAACCGCCATTTTCTCTTTGTCAGGCGCGAGGATCCTTCTTCCAGTTACTTCTTATTCGTCAGCACGAATTTTCTTCTTTTTTTTCTTTTGCTCAGTCTAAATAGTTAATAATAAATACTTATCCATCCGTTGACTATCTAGCTATAGCGACGTTTCTTCTTATTTTTATGAACATATTGAAATGAGATAAATATCATTGAATAAGTAGTCAATTATTCACTACAGTACAGTGAAAAATGTGCTTGCACTGCAGTGTTATTGTAACGTAATATTTTTCCAAAGCTTTCCAACAATTTCATTTTACGAGACAACACGTGGTAGTTTGAGCACGTTTTAAGCCTTTGATTGCTCACTGAAA